ATGGATTCAACATTCATTGCCGTATTTTTTTAAAAAAAATGAAAAAAAAAGAACAGATTTATGAAGGTCTCAGACCATCACCAATTACTTTAATACAAGTGTGTATAGATAATTAGTGAGGAATATTCTTAAAGACTAATAAGGTTGTTTCTATTAGAAAGGACTTAATAAGGTTGTAGATGATATAATTTTCACTCAATCAAAGCGCCTTTATGGGAGGTAGATAAATCCTGGATACTCTTCTTGTAGCCAATGAGGTAGGCATCCAAAAATTTATGGGTCAGTGTTGGTAATCAAGTTCGATTTTAAAAAGCATACAATATGGGTAGTGGAGCGTATGGAATTTGGGTCATGGGGGAGAAGGTGGATTAAGGAATGTTTATCATCTTTCCAATTTATAGTGATCGTTAATGGAAGATTGCAGGAATACTTTTGGGTATCGAGTGGATGCAGACAAGGATTGACCCTCACTTTTCTTTTTATCTTGGTGGTGGATAAGGTAGATCGAGGTTAAGAACAATTTGTCAAAGAGTGAGCTTATTAGGATTTATGTGGAGAAAGGAATTGCTGAGCAGATAGCAGAGCGGATAAGATGTACTTGATTAGTTTGGCCCATCACATATTTAGTAGTTTCATTGGGGCGTAACCCTAGAAGTAGGGTTTTTTGAGAATCTTAGATAAAAAACCAATTGACCATTATTAGATAAATGATTTTCTCATTTCCCCCTAAAGATTTGACTCTCTGTGGCATAGGCTTATCAACAGTATTCATGGGGACAGCAGGGATGGATGGAATGTTTAGCAGGATGGTCCATATTTCACAGAAGTCCTTGGAAAGCCATCTCCAAGTTCAACTATTGTTCATTCCTTTAACTTGACTGAAAGTGGGAAGATGGTTCACAAATGTTGTTTTGGAAAGATACTTGGATTGAGGATCGACCCTTGGCCAATCTAATTCCTTTGGCCGTTTTCTCTTATTACTTTAATTCAAGACTGTGTTTGTAGTATACCACTCTTCTACCTTTTGTCATTGTTAGGATACCCATCAGGATAGCTAATAGAATAGGGAGGTATATGCAAAGATTTTGTTGGCAGTGATGGGAAAGGTGAATCAAGGTTATTTATTGAGTTAGGAGGTATGTGTTGTCTGTCCAAGTTTTAGAGCGTTTGGTTATTTGGGAATCTTAGATTAAAAATCAATGACTGTTATTGGATAAATGACTTTGTCATTTCCCACAAAAATTTGACTCTCTGTGGCACAGGCTTATCAACAGTATTCATGGGGACAACTGGGACGAACCGAATGTGTAGCAAGATGATCCATATTTCACAGAAGTCCTTGGAAAGCCATCTTCGAGTTTGACCATTGTTCATTCCTATAACCCGAGTAAGAGTGGAAGATGGTTCACAAATGTTGTTTTGGGAAGATATGTGGAGTAAGGAGAAAAAGAGGCATTTACCTATTACAGAGATGGTGCAATTTGATTTTGATTGTCATTATTATTTTTTTCTTTATTTACCACTTCCCGTCTTAGGAATAGGAAAAAGACATATGATTCGGGGTATAAAGAAAAAAGATTATTGAAATAAATCTATGCTTCTTGAATGTGAAGTTTATAATATAAATAAAACAATCCCTTTTGTCGTGTATCCACGATTAATGTAGCCTTAGATGCTTCAATTGTTGATTCTAGTATTGAGCGAAATGTTACACGTATGGTTTTGGATTACAAGTCAAAAATCCCTACTACACTAATACTAATAGGCGACATAAGGGAAGAAACACTATGCCTAGAAATCAACAACACAAAAACTTTGTTCTAAGTTACTGCTTTTCCTTCATAGGGATCGGGACTAAGAAAAATGGTTGGGCCAACGAACATCCATCTCGTTCGTACTCTGGATACCCGTATAGTAGATTTAATCTTGTAGTCCAAATAACCAACCAACAAAATTATTTGTTACAAATAACATCTTGTTGTTGCATCGAAATATATAAATGTTGACTAATCTGGCTAGCATTGAACTTTGTAAAATGAAATGGTTGAATAATTGAAAAATGAGATTATTCAGGAATACACATTGAATGCGAAGATTATGCATTGAATTTCTGGTGGTAGATCCATAATCAAAAAAGTGTTTGTGATTGTTTCAGAAGAAATAAAACAGATACGGTAGAGTTAGGACAGTTATTGTATGAGGTCTACCCAATGCTAAATGCGGAGGCGCATAATAGATTGATATGAACATCGTGAGCTGTCCCGCAATAAAACCAGTTGTTGCTTGGCCAATCATTTCCCTTGGTGGTTTAATCTATCATTTAGACACAATGTTCCTTTCCATGTTTTAATATTCCATACCGAGGGAAGTGTAGCTTGGAATTTTCATTTCCTATGTAACCTATCCAATAGGTGGACTCATGATATACTCAATTTACTAATCCTTTTCGTTTGACACCAGAATTAGAACTTTGGTTTGTACATTTGCAAGTTTTTTTTTAATCACATCACTCAATAACCAACCCGTTACCAGCTCCCTGTGGTAGAAGAATTTCAGAAGGTTTTCCAGCTTCATCAGATATAACAGCGTTTGCATGGAACACTAATGGGATGTTACAAGTCCGTTAGTCCACCTGGGCTCTGTCTCCAGATATTTGTGTCATATGCTACAAAGAAGGGGTGACACATTCCTTATTATTCATACATTGTGGGATGACCTGGAAAATGTGAACCATACTGTTTGATCTGTTTAGTTTATATTGGGTCACTCCTATGATTGAATGTCTGTTGAGCTCTAGTATTCATGGGGAGGGGTCCTGGGGGTGGCGAAACCCCTCTGCAAGGGTCTCCTTTTGCAGGATTATGGATTTTCTGGCTTGAGTGGAATTGTAGGATTTTTTATGGCCATCATTTGAATAGCTTAGGAAAGTTGGCCAAAGTTCATGGAATTATTCCAATCTAGCTATCTACATGCTTCATCAGAATTTGGAGGCACTTATATTGTTCCTATGGGTTAATTCTTTTCTTGTTATATCTATTTCATTTTGTTGTGTTCGATTTTCTCTATTTAACATTTTGAGGAGGATGTCCTTAAAATGTTTTCATTTCATTTGGCTCCTAATTATAATTTTTCTTTTCCTGTATTTCAAAAAAAATAATTTTTCTTTTCCTATCAAAAGGACTTTTTTTGTATTTGTCAAGAAGATGATTATTGCATTTTATAAGATATCCTAGATCTTCTATCTTATTTTATTTTCTCATTTGTTTGGTTTCTACTGTTGGCTGTTTTATGTACTTACATTCATAATGAATTAAGTTAAAGTCACCAGTTTAAGCTTTTCAAATATTTCTTTTTGGAAATGGTGCTGCCCCCATCACAGTTATGTTCTCCATCTACTCTTCATGTATCAAGTAGTTACAAGTGGAGAAACTAAATGGCTGCAGGTACAACTGAAGCCATTGATGGAACAACTCAACAGAGTGAAAGATTTGAAGGTTCCTGAATTTGGGAGCCTGCAAGCATGGGAGGCTCAAGCAAGTGCCGCTGGGCGTGCAGCAAATGGTGATTCTGGTTCCAATGACCCCAGCAAATCTTCCCATGGCCTGGGCTACGGTGGAACACCACTGCCTTTCCTTGGAGAGACTAAAGTAATGTTCACTCACCTTTTCTTCTTCCTCTTTCTTTACATTAAGATGCTTAGTTGGGAGCCATGGAATTTTTTAATCATTTGTAATATAGCAGTGATCAGTGGTTCTATTGGGTGCCAATTATCATCTTTTTTTTGTAGGCTCTATGCATACCATGCATCTCAGTGGCATTTTCCATATTTTGCATACTGAACTCTTTTTCTTAAAACTTTTGCATGCTCCTCATTTCTCGTTCTTTGGAGACTCTTTTTGGTTTAATCTCTAGAAACTTAGTACTGTATAATTTTGTCAATTTAGGAATACTAAGCAACTAATAGGTTATTGTGGTTGATATCAAGGAGATGGATCAGACTCGGCACAATCTTCTTTCTAGCCTTTTCTGCCCTTAGGTTGGAGGAGTTCTGCATTTACTGCTGCATTTTATTTTTGGCTTGAGTTTGGCTCTAAATTCATTGTCTTGGTTGTGTAATAGTGTCAAATAATGTGTTCCGATAAATAATAATCTTTCTTTGATATGGTAATTTTGACTGATCTTATACATACATTTGCTCACCTCTGTCTTCAACCTTAGTTATGGTTGTTGAATATAATATTGAATGTAGGCACAGTATCAGGCTTGGTTCAGCAGGCTTGATGTTGTATTGAGAAGAGCTCCTTTTCAAGAACTGAACTACTGTAATTTGGATCAAGGGCAGCTTTGTCTAAGGTCCATTTGAAGGATTTTGAAGCTTATTAATTTTAGGGTGTGGATTTCACATTTGTCTTAAGCACCTGAATTTTCGGTTTGATGTGGGAA